AACAAAAGTTTGTGTTTATGTTTCATAGTTTGATAGTTGGTAGGGTCAGAAGAGACCTAAGCAGATCATCTAGTCCGATCCCCTGCCATGGGCAGGAAAGGATGCTGGGGTCAAATGAGCCCAGCTAGGTGTCTGTCTAGTCTCCTTTTGAAGATCCTCAGGGTAGGGGCAAGCACCACTTCCCTTGGAAGCTCCACTTCCCTAAGTGGCTGTAGAAAATCCATGCTATGGGATATTTCTGTTGAAATCCCTTGCTTTTGAACAGAATAATATAAAGGAATTGAATAAAAAATGAAATTGTGAAACAGATTGCATTATATCAGCAGTGCCTTACATCCTCCTCCTATGTGTTGTGACACTTTTATAATGATGGCAGAAGTAAATAGGTGTCAGCACTTCATTTATAATCCCCAGTTCTCATTAAATATAACTGTAGATAAAATATGTACTTTTCTTTCTTTCTTTCTTTGCAGAGGTGCACCGAGTGAGCTGAGACCTTGGGCTTTGTCCAGGTGGGCTGACCCCTGAGGCCACCCGGGTGTCTTTCTTCCTTGTTAATTTCACTCTTGATAAAATACTACACAATTACATCTTCTGGTCAGTTTACACCTATAGCAGGTCACAGCCTTATGTATGGTCTTGTAAATAATGCTAGTTGCAGAATTTTTTGGAAGAGCAAAGTTTTAAAATATTTTTTGTACATGAGGTAGAGATATAGAGACTGGAGTACAAACTTTTTCCACAAGCCTTTGGGGAGATATATAACACTGCATTAATCAAATGCACCAATGATAATGATAAAATACTGATAAGTATACTAAAAGTTGGCCACAAATATAAAAAAACAACTTTAGTTATAGCGAGGCTTGTTAGAACACAAAATGCCATAGATACAGACTTACAGGGTACGCTCACATTTCATAAGAAAACATTGTGCAGAGACAGTCAGATTAGAAGCAGTGGAACTATATTTGCTGTACTGATTCTATGCTAATAAGTCTTGCTTCTCAGCAGCTAGTTGCCTCTAGTGACCCCTATGGGAGTGGATTCTAGGAACTGAAGGTTTATGAAGGCTACCCAAGAGGCAGCAAAGGAAACATGAACAACTGGTGCCTCTCAAGACTGGGTGGGGGGAACAATTTGTGGGCAGCAGCGTTGGCGGTGGGGTGGTGAGTGGTAACTGTCCGCAGAAGCTGGCATGGTGGTGGGGTTTATGAGTGGTGATCTAGTGTCCCATGATCTCCTCATGGACAAATTGACCAACTGTAGCCTTGGCTACATCACAGTCCTATGGCTGGGGAACAGGCTCTGAGGTGGACCTAGAGAGTGGTAATAGATGGAAGTAAATCATCATGGTGATCCATGACCAGTGGAGTCTCCCAAGGCTCCATACTTGGGCCTATACTCTTTAACATCTAATGAAGTAGACATTGGTATTGGAAGCGGACTGGCCAAGTTTTCCGATGACACCAAACTCTGGGGTAAAGCATCCGCACCTGAGGATAGGCTGTTGATCCAAGCTGACTTTGACAGGCTCAGAAAATGGGCGGAGGAAAACTTGATGGCGTTCAACACTGAAAAATGCAAAGTTCTTCACCTTGGGGGAAAAAAACCTGCAGCATGCTTATAGGCTTGGCAGT